TTCACAAACAGTATGATTTATTCAAATGCAACATTTACAAAGCAGGTTTCAGATGTCAGTATAGGAAATTCTCTACTACAGCGTGGGGTTTTAAGCTAGCTCTGATGGACAACTGTGCAATCATCACTCACCCCAGAAGATGGGAGAGGGCTCTCAGTCTCGAGTCTCCACAGGCTGCATCCCGACCTGAGGGGAGGAAAGGGGGATCAGCCTGTCGACTGATCCAGGAGTTATGATGGTTTCTTCCCCCCTCCAAACCTTTTCATCCTTAGTTCACCTTTTATACTTTTCTTTACATGCAGGTGGAGCTTGAGTGACTAGAGTCATACTTAATATTGTTATTGATTGGTGAAAAGATTTCTCGCTTTCATTTAAAGGTACAGTCAATGGAAAATCTAGAGCGCATGCTCAGTGAGGGGTGGTCGTACCTCAGAGGTGGGTAACTTTTGGGATGGAGGTGTGGTTTTGACATTATAATGAGCAAAGTTCAAGCAAAGTTCATCTGAAAGGAGTGATTTGCCACCTGTGCTGGCTCAGCACCGGATATGTTATCATATATCTCCCATTAGACAGCCACTGGGCGGTTTATCAGCAGCCCAGCACAGGGAGCGCAGCAGAGTTTGGCCGTGGTGTCTTCACTCCGCTCCATCCTCCGTTACTCCCCTTTGCAGCTGCAAGGAGGGCAGATTTTGTTGCCTAGGGAACTGTGGAGGAGCAGAGTCCGTGTGTACCAGCCATCCTGGAGGAGGCAACTGTGTATCACCCCAAGCAAGCTTTTGTAATGCCATAACTTCTGTTAGGCCCTAGTTTTTATCTAAGTCTCTCCTTTTTCAGGCCATTCTTCCACAGACACTTAGCAAGATTGGTGAGCTATAGAACCTGCCTCAAGAAGAGCATTATCCTACGATGTTTCTTTTTTTCTCTCGAAAGGGGTGACAATGACCAAATCAAAAAAAAAAAAAAAAAAAAAGAGGAATGTCTCGACTGTCTCCAAACTGCTTATTGTGGGAGCATGTTTTGATAAATGTGTTTGCATTTTGTGGAGAGTCTATGACTCAATATATTTTAGTGCATTGGATAATACTGTGTCTTCACTTTTTGAGGAATGAGACAGTGGTATGAAAGTGAACTTAAAGCTATACTCCCACAAAATACTGTCTGGTGAAAATTGTAACAATTCTTACAATAGGAGGCATATAGAAGTCCAAAATGACAGAATTAAATAGATATTACTTAAAATGACTGGCATCTGAAATTATGAATCTCTGAACCTCTTGCTCTAATGCAGATTTCTTCTTTTTCAGTCAGTGCATAGAGATATACTTCTGCTTTATTCTTATATATTGTTTTTGGGGAGGATGCAGTTGCAGACTGAGGAGAGAGAAACCATCCATCTATAAAGCACCCTCTTCTTCCCACTCAAGGATGTTCTGCATCTCATGTTAATCTGCTTGCATGGAGAAATGGGGATAAGGTGTGATAGGATTTTGCTTCCTGTGGACAACATGCTTTTCTGTTCTCTGCCTTCCTGAACTGTAATAACATAAATTTTGGTAACTCAAGTTGCTGCGTTCAGGTCAGTAAAGTAATAGCATCCTTAGGAGAAGGTACATCTATAGTTGCAAGTCAGGAGATGAGGTTCCTCAGTGGCTTAGATGTTTATACCTATATCGAATTTGTGAGAGAACCGAGTGATGCAGGATCAAGTCTTTATGACTTCTAGTTTAATTACCACATAGTTATCCTCCCATAATAATTGGAAAGACTTCTTCAAGTGTGAAGGTTATAGGGGAAAAATCATCTTTAGCTTTAAGATAAAGTTATGAAAGACTTTGCTACATAAATTAAATGTTTTCAATATTCTAGTAACTCTGTTAAAACATTTCTGTGTGTTTTTTACTCTTTAGTAGATAATCCTTTTCTCTATTCTTAATTAAGTCTTTTCTACTTTCTGACTCAACCAGAATGTCCATAGAAGAATAATGGAAGACCCTGAATACCTCGACTTGGATGAAATAGATTTTAGTGATGATATATCAGTAAGTCCAAGTCTTAATGTATTTATTCAAGTTGAGACAATCTTGGGTATCTTGGTTATGATACAACAAACAACACTTATTAGAAGCCAGATTTCTTTTTACCTCATATATAGAAAATTTTAAATAGTTTGAGTCCAGAATTAAAAAAAAAAAAAAAAAAAATCTTGTAAGGGAAGTCTTTAGAGACTTTGGAAGAACTGGAGCCCTCCACCTCAATTTGTAAGTTACTTGCAAATCATTGCTTATGTACTCTATTGTCTTGAATGAGTTATATGCTCACTAAAGCCTTAGTCACCAAAATGATGGTTTGCCTGTTTCTTTTTAAATCGTAGAGAGTACCCAAAGTAAAAATATTTCTGCCTCTCTGACCTCAGAATTGCTACCCCTTCATATGATTTGTTATTCAGTCCTTTTCCACAGCAGCCATCTTCAAGTCCAGCAAAGTTTCTAAATAGGTGTGATGTAGCTACTTGTGACATTGTCGACTGCAACAAGAGGCTGAAGGACTTTCAGGGACACAGTGCCAAGTCTAGTCTATTGCCTGACCATTCTCCATCATCTTCGAGAGGTCATGGAGGACGAGGGAGGTGCCGGGGGACTGGAAGAAACCAACGTCACTCCAGTCTTCAAAAAGGGCAAGAGGGAGGACCCGGGAAACTGCAGGCTGGTCAGCCTCACCTCTGTTCCTGGAAAGGTGATGGAGCAGCTCATCTTGGAGACCATCTCTAAGCATGTCAAGGAAAAGAAGGTGATCAGGAGTAGTCAGCATGGATTCACCAAGCGGAAGTTGTGTCTGACGAACCTGATTGATAGCCTTCTACAATGAGATGACTGGCTGGATGGACAATGGGAGAGCTATGGATGTTGTCTGCCTTGACTTCAGCAAGGCTTTCGACACAGTCTCCCATAACATCCTCATAAGGAAGCTCTGAAAGTGTGGACTGGACAAGTGGACAGCGAGGTGGATTGAGAATTGGCTGGATGGTAGAGCCCAGAGGGTGGTGATAAATGGGGCCGAGTTTGGTTGGAGGCCTGTGGCCAGTGGTGTCCCCCAGGGGTCAGTACTGGGTCCAGTCCTGTTCAACTTGTTCATCAATGACTTGGACGAGGGCACAGAGGGCACCCTCAGCAAGTTTGCAGATGACACCAAACTGGGAGGAGTGGCCGACACTCCCGAGGGCTGTGCTGTCATTCAGAGGGACCTAGACAGGATGGAGAGTTGGGCAGAGAGGAACTTCATGAGGTTCAACAAGGACAAGTGCAGGGTCCTGCACCAGGGGAGGAATAACCTCAGGCACCAGTACAGACTAGGGGTTGATCTGCTGGAAAGCAGCTCCGCAGAGAGGGAGTCCTGCCTGACAACAAGTTAACCATGAGGCGGCAATGTGCCCTTGTGGCCAAGAAGGCCAAAAGGATCCTGGCCTGCATGAGGAGAAGCATTGCCAGCAGGGCGAGGGAGGGGATCCTCCCCCTCTACTCAGCTCTGGGGAGGCGCCTGGAATATTGTGTGCAGTTCTGGGCTCCCCAGGACAAGAGGGACATGGAGCTTCTAGAGAGGGTCCAGCGTAGGGCCACGAAGATCATTAAGGCACTAGAGCATCTATCGTATGAGGAAAGGCTAAGGGAACTGGGCCTGTCTAGTGTGGAGAATTGAAGGCTGAGAGGAGATCTGATCAACATGTCCAAGTACCTGAGGGGAGAATGTAGGGAGGATGGGGCCAAACTCTTCTTGGTGGTGGCCAGTGACAGGATGAGAGGTAATGGGTACAAAATGAAGCACAGGCAGTTCCATCTCCATGTGAGGAAGAACTTCTTGACTGTGAGGGTGCCAGAGCCGTGGAACAGGCTGCCCAGAGAGGCTGTGGGGTCTCCTTCTCCTTCTCTGGAGATCTTCAAAACCCGCCTGGATGCCACCCTGTGCCATGTGCTCTGGGTGTCCCTGCTGGAGCAGGGGGTTGGACTAGATGATCTCTAGAGGTCCCTTCCAATCTCAACCATTCTGGGATTCTGGGATTCAGATACAGCACTGATTCTAGTGTTACACCTAGCAGCTGTAATTGTTTTCAAAAATACTGCTCTTTTAAGGCAATAGTTACTGCTTCTTATAGCAAGCACTGCACTGATACAGTATATTCCCTTAGTAATACTTCTATCAATGTTTCTGCTTTATTTGGAACAGACCTGCTAATATGTTGAATGTCTGGTTAACCAGGGACTTGAATACATAAATTAAATCCATTGTTATCAGAATTTTTCAGGTCTCATTTACTGTCAAAGACAGAATGCCTCCGCATTCTTTATATACATATAAATATATAATACATATATATATATATATATTAAAACAAAGGAAGGCCCTTTTTTTCCCTTTAGTATTTGGCACTCTTGATTCATTTTAAAACATTCCAGATGCTTTATTTGCAGATGTATTCCTTTTGGAAGAGGATTTCACTTTTACCTATTGTAGCACCACATTTTTATGAAAGTGGAAGAGGGCAAATGCCCAAGATATTACAAGACAAGGAGCCAGTCCTGAGAGGATACCTAATTCTGGACAACTTTCTTTTTATCACAGTTATATGGTAGATCTTGGTATCTGTTTCTATACTCAATTTTGTAAAACCTTAAAACATTTGGATGTAACATCTGCACATCTCCCATTGTAGCTGTTGCTGTATACTGGTGGGTTAGGTGGATATTTCTCAAAATAAGATGCTTATTTTGCAAACTCAAATGGTGCCATTGCAGATGAATTGGATATAGTTGATTTGAGTGTAGTGTAGACAGAATAGGTTTATGGAACTCTTGCTTACATTGCACAAAAATAGTATTCTGTTCACAGTGACATTAAACAGCCAAGCTGAATATTTTTGTTAATTTCTTCATGAGTTGGCAACTATTCACACAAAAGAGGAAATTCAAAAATTAGGACCTGTAAGCTGCATTAAATGTCAGATACACTTTAACGTAAAAATATATCTTATACTTTCCCCTTTTTCCCCATCACTACTCTGATTTTGCATGTAAAATTATACCTGCCGATAAGTCGTATAATGGTACTATAGTTAGTTGAAGGTTTCCTAATCCTTTTGCTAAAGTGCAGGATCTTTATTGCACTGGCATATTATGCAAATGAAAGTGATTATATTTATTAATTTACAGAAGTAATACCAAATGCCCTATAACGATTTCTAGTGCAAGATATTTGTAAAGTATTTGGGACTGAGTTCTTAGCTCTGATTATTCAAATAGCTTTGTGCAAATGACAGACTGGCTCTGTGATGGCAGTGCAGAACTGGACGTAACTTTAAAGTTTCTGGTATTTCTTGGATACAAATGCACCTTTCACTTGAGCAGCGCTGCATTGAATGGCCTTGCTAGAGATTGATGTTTTCTTTATCAAGTGTTACGTTGTATTAAATGCGTTCAGTGTGTTAAAATCTGAGAACCAGAATTTAAAAGGTTGACATTTTTATTTACTCAAAATCTATAGCCTACTTTACATATAGTCCAGTTTACATTTACCTTGTCTCTTGTTTGCTGTCATTTCTGTTCTTCCACCTTAGAAAATTTCCAAGAGATTTACTAAAATTCACTATGTCAGGTTGGAGGCATGCTTTAAAAGTGAAAACAACCCATCACCACCACCAACAGAAACCAAAACAAATAACCTAACCCCCCCAACAACAATCAAAATGCTATTAATTGCAAGCATTACCCTTTAAAGAAGCTCTTTTTTTTTCTGTTACTGAATTCCACTGTCAATCACAAAATATTTTTATAAAATATCAAAAGCCAATCATCTGATGTGTTTATTTCTTGCACTATCACTTATGCCTTGGGACATGGCCCTCAATTCTTTGCTGACTACTCTTTTTCTAATCGGGCTAAATAGAATAAACATCACTTTGGAGCAATGGGGCTTAATTTCGTATATAAGAATAATTTAAGATTATTGACTGTAGAGTAGAAAAGTAGAAAATAATTAAAATGCTATTCTAATGGCCATGAGACCAAAAAGGTGTAGCAGGGAAAGGTTGCAATTTCCACCTCTTTTGCTGTCGCTTTGTGACATCCCTAGCAAACTTGAAACTTTGGCTTGAAGAAAAGCTAACAATCATCACTGATAGTTCAGAACTGGAACTAGAGTATGAGAGAAAGTAATTTCAGAGGGAAGAGCTCCCAATGGATTATGCTTATGGTTGGGAAAGGTCCATTTTAGAGAGCAAGTTCAGTTGTTTCCTGGCATCTTTGTAGTGTCTCAATTGAAAAACAGTTCTCTATCTTGACCGCAAAATACAGATGGCAGAAATGTAAATGTACAAAAGTCTTTTTGAGGACAGAGGTGAGTAGGAGGAAATCTGTTAATGAAATCAAATCAGTATGATTAAAATGTATAATCAAATTTATAACTTATTTAATAACTTTTTGTTGGTAGTGGGGTTGGTAATTGAATAAATTTTAGTGCAATGTTGAAACAGAAAGAAAAATTGTTTTCCAGGAAAGTATAGAAAAAAAAAACAGTAAGAAAAATGGCTCTCTGCTTTTGAGGGTGCCTGACAAAACACACAGTGATGGAGTACAAAAAGCCTAATTCTAAATGAATTACAGACTGTGTAATAGCTTAAACTGCACCAGCTGGTCTTATGAAGCTACCATATTCCTTGGAGACATATTCCTTGGAGTCTTGTAAGAATCCAGTTCAGCAATGCCTTCTGAATCATGCTGAAACAGCTAGATGTATAGCTTAACAGCTCAATCTTTATTAAACAATAACTACACTGAAGCGAAGCAAAGTTTGTGCATGTGTGTGTTGAACTTGTGTTAATTTGTGTTTGATAGCATCTGTCTCCCTTCTTTTCCCATCTGTTGCCTTAGACTGTCAGCTCTTAAAACACTTGTCACAGCCTTATATCGAGCCCCACCTTTAATGGGGATAGGAGACACTGGGTAGTTCTGTGGAGTGCTGCCTTGTATTTTAATTAATAAATTCAGTGTTAGATACTGTGAATATTTATGAGACATTATTACTGTCATAGCTGAGTTTTCTCAATACCTCTCTGAATCAGGCTGTCAGAGACAAAAAAGGCATTGGAAGTATTTGAGTCTGAATAAAATAACTGTGATCCATTGAGTAACAGTCTTACTTAAGCTCACTTGAGTCAGAAGTAAATTACTTCTGCAATTGGTTAGATGAGCTTTACATTATATTATATCACGTTATATTATGTTATATATGTTATTACAATATATAATATTTACATTATATTTACGTTATTTTGAAGTAGATTGCCAACTGTGTGTTAGAAGCAAATTAAACTTCCAATGATGAACTGCCAGCAAAAAGCCAGCACAGTGTACGACCATTTCTTTTTTTGTGTGGAAAGCTGATGTTTTTATATATAATTGTTTTGCTTCACTGTTCAACTGCACACCAGCTAAAAATACCCATTTCTTTGAAACCATATGATGCTTATATATATATATATATCATTTGTGCTAATTCTAAATGTTTTTTTTCTGTCTTCATTTCCAAAATACTGTTTTATACATGCTTTTATACAGACAATGCCTTTGATTTTTTTCACACGCACAATAATTTTCATTTAAGTGAAGATTTCTGTAAGACTGAAGCATTAGATTAAAGAAGATTTGGTATTAACTTAATTTCTGTATGTCAGAATTTGTGTGCCTTATTCAGGTTATTTCACAAGTTATAAGAGGAAAAAAAATGCTGTTTAGTATGTATAAACATATGCTATCCTTGTTCTTTTCCTTTTTAAGGTTGAATTCTGAAAATAATGTATCAATCAATCAGTCACATCAAAGTAGTAATACGCTTGCTTTAATAAAATCTAAGTTAGAGAAAGGACCCTGTGGCCTGATATGTGTATGTACATGCATCACACTGAAATCAGTTCTCTAAGATGAAAATATTCTATATTACTTGTATATACTGCTTTATGAAGGCTTGAATTTTAAGTCCTTTTATCATGAAGTATTGTGCAAGATAAATGCTGCAATAGATGCCCATGTGGGTCAAATGAGACCCTGTCTACTGTCTAGCCTATTCTCACTTTTGTATTTGTGCATTCCATGAATTACTTTATATAATTTTTTGCCTTTCTTTCGGTATTTTGTAACTTCTCTCAAGACCATCCCAGAATTATGTAGATGGTATGATTCACAAAATGAAGACAGATCAGGTATGATGCCCACTTCTGCCTGTTGGGAATTGGCTACGAGAGCGTGGACATGAGTATGGTTCTACTGACTTTGGTTCAGGCCTGCAACTGAGCAAGCAGGGGCTTCTGGGAGATTAGGCCTCAGGAGAGAAGTGCTGAGGACGTGCTGGTAAGGCAAGGACACTCTGTCCTTGGCTAGTTTCGTAAACAACTTTGAGGGGATAAGGCAGGAAGAATGAAGAAGCTGCTTGCTTATCGACCGTAATCTGGGCTGGCCAGACTGAAGTTATCTTTCTAATAAACAATCAAATACCGTTAGCAACCAATCATGAGCTCAAGCTTTGTAATATGCATGAGGTTAATTAAGAAATGTATAAAAAGCAGGATAAACGACTAATAAACGAGTCTTGTTGATGACCAGCTGGTGTCGACAGTCTCCCTTTCTCCTACATCTGCCCACCTGTCATTTTCTAAGCTGCTTTTAACCATGTTCAACTTGGCAACAATTGCTTCTTGAGAGTGTTCTGTTGTTTTGTTTTCTTTCATTTTCATGCAACTTCCTGGAAACATAACTTTTTTTTTTAACAGATTTTAGTTCATTAGAAAGAAAAAGTTTATACAGATAAATGTAGGACTCCATCTCAGCAGTTCCAAACCACAGTATATGCAACAATTTATTTGAAATCACGAGAAACCATTGGTGACAAGATGTAATAGTGTAGGCGCCAATGAAAAAATGTTGGATACATGTTGCTACCCATATGGCCATGACTAGTTTGAGGGATGATGTTTTGACATAGTGTGAAACTCTATCAAGGATGCTACATGTTAAAATCTACTCTAAGGCATACTGTAATAGTCAAGACTAAAGCAGAGTTTTTGGCATATAGATGTGAACCAGATGGGCATCTTCTCCCCTCCCCCCCCTCTCCCCGATTAATCAGATTAATCCTCTCTTCTGTTTTTCTCTTCCTGATGGACCAAAATGAATTGGTGAGAGGAATGCTTTTTTGTTGAGCTATGAAAAGTTTATTGTGCTTTCATCTGATGCTTTAATTGCACTTCGTTAGTGTTGTTGAATTTAAGACTTTTATAACAGAAACTGGAGACCTGAAATTCTTGGGAAGATAGAAGGCTTTAAGAACTGTGCTATATTTTGGCAACTTTTATTTCTGTATTTCCTTTCAGAGTTGTAAATTACCAAGGTTTGTAACTAAATTGAAACTGAGAGCTGCTGCTTCTGCCAGAATCATTAAAGGCTGTCATCACAGCCCTATGCCACTACCCTGGGGAATAAAGGGAAGTGAAGCTTTCCTTAACATGTACACTCTGAATGTTACTGCCTGCACAGGGGCAGGCAGTGATTGCTCACATAGTGCTACCTGCTGCAAGTGGAGAGGCAGAGTAGAAAGGGAGAAGACCCCCGATTTTTTTTTTGTTGTTGTTGTTCTCTCCCCTTTCTGTAGATGTAGATTCTACAGAACGTAGTTTCTACAGAGGGAGACTGAACAATGGATTCGCTCAGTTGCTCCATGAGCAAGGTGAACTGCAGAAAGAAGGCAAGAATAACCACCAAGCCATTTTTTACTGGTTGGTCTTCATGAAGAGTACCTAGGCAAGAGTGGTGGCTCTGCTAAAACTCTACTAAACTCAACTAATCTCAACTAAAACTCAAGGAGTGTTTATTTAAAATACAGAGGTCATCCTTAAATTAAAATGCAAGCCAAGAGCAAGGATGAAGCATTGGTTGTAAGCTCTTCCAAAAGACCCTCAGACATTGACAACTTACTGTCAATTGCTCAATTGCTTCATGATTCTCTCTGCAGTCAGACATTTTCCAGTGATGATTTTAATTACATCTGCATTCATCTGTAGCTATAGACATTGCTGGAAGACAGTAGTTGCACCAGTCTGGCAATGAAACTTACGTCAGAGCTTTGTTTAAAAGTCTTGTATCAAAAAGGGAATTCTTAGCACTGATAATAGTTTTGGCAAACTGAAAATAGTACTAAAATCTGTTAGTTTTTTTTGTTTGTTTTGTTTTTTCCATTCTATTTATCACTTACTTACCCATTTTGGTGAACTGAAAATCATACTGAAATGTTTTTTTCACTCTACCTATCACTGAATAAACATAAATACTGTTGAACAGGAAGGTATCACTCTACAGCCCTGCTCAGATGTCATTGAAATATAATAATCGACTTTATAATCAACACTGTATAAGGTTCCCATCTTCTGTTTTTTCATAGTTGATTTTGATGCAGTCAAAATGATGCATATCATGGACCATTAAAAAATCAAACACATTCCCAAAGTTATTGTTGTTATATGCTGCTTTTGATCAAGTTAAATTTTATCATAAATCCTTAGTATGCATGGTACATCTTCAGTTGTGTATTTATATTACATTGACAATTTAAATGATTGCATATAGTGTAAGTAAGTCAAATGTTTTACCACAAACTGGTCCAGCCCTTTCCTTCATACATGCTTTCTCCTGTTTAGTTAGAGGTTATATTTTTCTTTAAAATAGAGAAGAATATGGAAGTAGAAATATCCAAGAATTATTTTAGAGGTGAACTAAAAGTTAAGTGTAAGTTACTGGTAGGACTACATAAATTGAGGTTCTAATACCCTAAAAATACTAATATTTGAGAAATTTGTCTCCAGAAATATTTAGTTCACTGAGACAAGTCAGAAGTATAGAGAAAATAAGTTTTAACTTTATATTTAAATATATATATGAATATGTAGACAACCATATTTATCACGCGGTTGTTTGAACTGATTTAAACCAGACAGCTGCTCTTTGTGGTATTAATGTTTTTAGTTATCTTACAGGAATTATGGGGTCATTATTACTCATTGTTCACAGGTTTAGTAAATAGCCCTGAAATCCCATTTGTTTTCCCCATTTCATCTAAATGCTGAATAGGTTAGTAACAAAGGAAAATGTTAGATTACATTGTTTTCACATTGCTCTAAACTCCTTTAATCCAAGGCAAATATACCAGTACTTTCCCACTCTGTGTATTTTCTCATGGATTTCACATAGACTTTTCAACTCATTTTTTTTTCTCCACTATTTCTTTCTGCCTGTAATTTTTGGTGAAATTACTTATTCTTTTGTACAAAAAGAGATTCGAAAGTCTGAGAGACGACTTCCCTTCATATCCCTGTTTCCTGCTTATATCGATCAGCTTCACATTGTCATCTCCCTTGACTGGACTGGACTGACTGAGGATCTGTGCCAGCGGGGAAGTGCTGTATTTCCTTCCTCACCTCTTCACAAGATTTGCATGAAACTCATACTGTTAATACAATCTCAGTACTGACTTCTCTGTGATCTTCCTTGCATATAGGAATTCTGACTCAGAAAAATTCCAAGGGATTCTAGAAATCAAAGATATCTCACTACCCCCAGATTACCAGGTGCAAGATTTACAGGGTAGAAGAGGTGTAGGGCAAATTCTGGCTTATCCATCTCGCATGTGTGATTAAGGGCAATCATAAATACAGATTAAATATGGATCTAGCTACCTCATTTTTTTTTTCTGAAATGAAATGACTAGCAGCCTGTCTGCTGATTTCCAGTATTGCTTAACACAGAATGATCAATTGAAACAGAAATCAGTGCTTTATGGGGTTTTTTTTGTTTGTTTGTTTGTTTTTTTATTATTAAGCATAAAATTGGTTGCTTGCTTTCTGGGTAGATTTTCTAAGGGCATTTGAACAAATGGTTTAGGGCCTCTGTGTTCAACAAGCTTCACTGAACCATATCATAGTGTTATTCTGTCAGTTAGGATGACTTTTGGTTGTATTCTGAAGGTGGCTTTCCTATTTGGGAAATTTAATCGGTGAATATGGTAACTGTATATTTCCAGTGTTTCACATTGCACACAATTCCTGTCCCAAGCTCTTGTTAGTATTTTAACTATAGCCTAATTTAAAGCAAAGCTTTGATTTGGAGTCAGCATTATTTATATAGCATTCATTTCTGAGAGTTGTGTTCCAAATATGTCCCAAGTAAATATGTCTGAAACAATACAAAAATGATTTGGTAATTCCAGACTTTGAAAAGATTGTAGAAGACTGAAGTTTTCTCAGGAAAACAACAACAACAACAACAAAACAGTAATTAGAATCATGAATATGCATTGAAGCTTGGATAGCTTTTCAGACTCTTTTTCCTAACTTGTTTTCATGTCCTTGCTCTTTCCATTTTACACATTATGTGCCAGGACGAGCTCTTCTGATTTTTCATTAGAACTTCCCTTGTGTTTATATCCCCAGATCAGTCTGGAAAAGGGTAACCCCAGTTTGTAATTGGGAAACCTGTTTGTTTTGAAAATTTCTTTCCTTCTTCTACATTCGCTACTTTAGAAGTGACAGCTTTTACAGTGTTCTTCTTCAAGCCAAGATAAGAAAAATGATTAATTTGATGAGGCTTGTATTAATGTATGGATCACCTGGAAAAGGTGCAGTTTGAATTACTATTATCCCCATTGCTCTTATTTCCTAACCCTTTCTTTCTTCTCTGCAATGTGTCCAAATTTCACTTACAAAAGGGAAGACATTCTGTTCCTCTCTGTGCAGGGTCATTCTGCTGCAGAACTTGCATTAAAGAAACCAGAAGTACTCCTGGGAGTTATTAATATATTAAAACTGTAAAACAGTGCCACCGTCAGTTAAAATTGATAAATATTATTTCAGTGATGTTAAGTAAATGGTAAGTAGGATAGTCAGAACTGTTTTTTATTATCTTAATCCTGTGTAAAGGACATCCCTTCCCTCATCTCTTGGAGATCCAATACTGCTGCCAGTATTGGAAATGAATCAGTGTTTAAAAGTGTGAGGAATTTTCTGAAAACTGTTGTCTGTGCGCAGACAACACCTTGGTGTCTGTTTTTTTCTTCCTGGAAGCACAGCTGACCATGAGATACTGCTGTTCATCCTGAAAAGGAACAGGGATAGTAAGCTAAAAAGGCTCAAAGATTTCAATGAGTGATATGGAATAGCAATAGTTTGCCAGATCTGATCCACAGAAGAACACGAGTAAGCTGATGATCATTTTCATTCCTGTTCAAGATAGCTGTGTAGCTGTCATGTGATTTATAAAACATGTCTCAATTGCCAGCTGATCTGCAATTGGCTCGAATCTTTGTATCTGTTATGCTACCTGCACCACTGCCATGTATGTCATGTATGGTCCAGTTGTTGAGAAGCAGTAATCACAACTACAGAATATTGGTCAAAGCTTAAACCTAAATGACTCTGTGGTGATGGTGACAGAAACGTGCAGTTTCACAATTAGTCAGTGCTCGGTGACTGGGAATAGTTCTTGATTCCTTGTTAGGTGGATCCATGAAAATCTTGCATTGTAGCATCTCTTTCAGTATCTTCAGGCCATTTTATGGTACTGATGTAGGATATGCATCCCTTTTTACCATCTCCTGTTTGTGTCACAAGTGCTGTAAACTGTAAAAGACCAACAGCAATAAAAGAATGTTGCTGCACTCTTTTGCTGGAAAGGTGACTGTTTGCATGCACATCCAAAAAAAATTTGAGTTATGCATTTCCTATTGATCTGAGTAAAAGTTGAGTCCTTTATCTTCCTTTATACTCAGGACAATTTAAAGATACTGTAACGTTCGAGCATTTCGACTGTAAGCATCACATAAATTGCCTGTCACAAGGGTAAGGTTTCATCTGTGTATGACAATCTTGATGACTGGACAAAACTCATAATTACCCGGAGGCACTCATGTACCAGATAAAACTCTCCCTCACACCTCTCCACTATCTCAATATAAAGATGGCATTGCCAAATGCTATGAAGTCACAAATCCTTACAGTTGAAAATGTTATAAGCTTCTTTTTTAGAAAGTTCCAGATGGATAAATTTTGATTTGTAAAATCAAAAATGATGAAGCAATTAAATTGCCATAGAAGTTTCTTCCTACTTGTCTGCTTTTCTGACTATTCACCCCAAAGCAGCTCTAGGATGCATACAAACAAACAAACAAAACAAAAACACCTACAGGTCTCTCTTCATTTCTTGTATTTTGCCTTCTTCAAGAGCAGAGAGCATAATATATGGTCAAGAACTACATTTACAAATTTGACCCTTGCAGGTTTTTATCAGGCACCATTTTCTTTAGTGTTGAAGAAATGCTTTGCCACCTCAGCACCATCAGGCAGCATTATACATCTTTATTAATGTCAATGAAAAGCATCCTCAGTTTTTCTGCCCTTTTTCCTTTGTACTTAGGTGATCCCATGGCTGTTTTAGCTAAGTCTCTTATCATGAGTGCATAAAAGTTAGCGACAGAATTTTGATAACATCTTTGGAAATTTTGGAAAAAAAAATGAAGACATTTTGTCATCTTTTTATAGCCGAGATACTGGTACACAGAAGCAACGATGTGGCTCATCCAAGATGATATTGGTATTATTTGATGGATTTTGGACAGTTAGTTGTTCCAGATTCCAGTCCCCTGCCTTAAACAGACCATCCTGTGCTGTTGTTTATAAAGAAAACAAACAGTATTTATTTGACCCAGACTTTTGGTGGCCCCTGCCTGACTTCATAAGTGTGGAGTGATGAGCAAAAAGCTTTTTCCATGGAGCAGCTGTTAAAGACTATCCATATAACAACCCTGGCCGTACTGGTGCTCTGGAGGATGTAGGCACTGCTTGCTTCTGCTTCCTCAGGAAAAAGCATCTATAAACAGAATGAAGAAGTTTTAGGGTTTCAAGCATGCCCTAGTCCACTCTGCTCTGTGGTATCAATCTCATGTATAGGAGGAGCCATGCTAAAACTGTTTAGGTATGGGTGCAGCATATACAGCACCCAATGAGTAGAAAATAGCTCAAAGAAAGATCAAGTCTACCAGTTTGATTTGTATTACTCCCTACTGCTTATGTGGTTAAATGCCATATTCTAATCTTTTATCATCAAAGGCACTGTAATTTCATACTCCTAATTAAGTAAATAATATATTCCTAAATTTGTAAAAATATTACTAATTGTTCTTGGTGTTCCAGTTTGCTTTCTTAGAGCCTGTGTTTGTAGAGTTGCTCCACCAACATATTGGGGAGAAAAGCAACAAAGAAATAGCAGTGCCTCACTCCACTGTAATTGTAATGAAAGAAGAGAGAAATGCATGAATATGCTGTGATCAAACAGATTTGTAACAAAGGTCAATGTTTCTTTGCAGTGTCAAAATTTACAGTTTTATTGTCAGTGGTTATGTAAATATGTGTTATTAAGGTTAGAAAATGGAAAAAAAGCCTGTTCAGGCTACCAACAGAATAAATGTAAGCGTAAAGAAAGCGATGACAAACAAAATGTTGATGACTTTTTCTTTGTCTAGACCCATGTGATGAAAGCAGTGCTTTCATAAAAGTCGAAGAAAATTCATTTTCCAGACAGAGTGCTTAATAGTTCCTGTCAGAACAAAACATCCGGGAAACATATGGTATCCATTTCCCTGTATCATTTGGAAAAAAAATTCACATGTAAATAAAAAGAACATAAAAGCATAGGCCTTTAGACCTAGAATTTTATAAAATGCATAAATCATAGAATCATAGAATGCTTAAGGTTGGAAGGGACCTCTAGAGGTCATCTAGTCCAACCCCCTGCACACGCAGGGTCACCTAGAGCACATGGCACAGGGTGGCATCCAAGTGGGTTTGGAAGATCTCCAGAGAAGGAGACACCACAACCTCTCTGGGCAGCCTGTTCCAGGGCTCTGTCACCCTCACTGTTAAGAAATTTTTCTTTAAGTTCCTGTGGAACTTTTGGTGCTTCAGTTTGTGGCCATTTCCTCTAGTTCTGTCAGTGGCCACCACTGAAAAGAGGCCAGCACCATCCTCCTCACTGCCTCCCTTGAGGTACTTATAGACACTGATCAGATCCCCTCTCAGCCTTCTCTTCTCCAGGCTGAACAGGCCCAGCACCCTCAGCCTCTCCTCATAGGGCAGATGTTCCAGGCCCCTGATCATCCTCGTAGCCCTGCGCTGGACTCTCTCCAGCAGCTCCACATCCCTCTTGTACTGTGGAGCCCAGAACTGGACACAATACTCCAGATGTGGCCTCACCAGGGCTGAGTAGAGGGTCCCTCGACCTGCTGGAGATGCTCTTCTTAATGCACCCCAGGATCCCATTGGCCTTCTTGGCCACGAGGGCACACTGCTGCCTCATGGTCAACTTGTCATCCACCATGACGCCCAGGTCCCTCTCTGCAGAGCTGCTCTCCAGAAGATAGGTCCCCAGCCTGTACTGGTTTCTGGGGTTTTTTCTCCCCAGGTGCAGGACCTTGCACTTGGCCTAGTTGAATTTCATGAGTTTTTTCACTGCTCAGTTGTCCAGTCTGTCCAGGTCCCTCTGGATGGCAGCACATCCCTCTGGGGTATCAGCTACTCCTCCCAGTTTGGTATCAGTACAGTGCATTGTTTGTATTGGCGCACTGTTACATGCCTATTGATTGTTATTATATTTTTTTCTTAGGAAATATATTTTTGAGCACTTTCAAAAGTATTAAGATAATTTTCAGACCATTGTAACTACCAAGCTATACTCATTTTTCACTTCAAATATTAATATTTTACTGACAGTACCTATATCTGTTTCCTTAGGAAGACGTTCATGGCAAATTGTGCTTTTTGACCACAAATTAGATCCCACTGATATGTAGTTAATGTGTCATAAATGCTATGCTATGTTTAAATTGTCTTCTTGACTTTAAGAATACATGAACTCTTGGTAAGCATTGAGGGCCATAGGAAGGAAAAAGAGTCTAAGGGCTGTAATGGTTTTAGTGGAGTCACCCTACTGAAAGTAACAAAAAGTAAACTCTTGCTTATGTGCTGCTGATTATGGAGATCAAGAATATCACAAAATGGGACTGTATGAAAGAGCGAAAGTTTAAAAGGAGTATGAATTCAGGTGCATTGAGGTCCCATTCTTCTCTGCAAGTCAGATTCCCTAGTTGAACTCTAGATCCCGCAGTGTACTGAAGATAATGCACTGGAAGTTCCAGAGCCCTGTGCATGTGTGTATATGTATGTATGTTATGGGATGGAAAGTTTGACTAAGAAGCCCAAATATAGAGAAATGGAAAATGAGACATGACTAAATAGGCTTAATTTTCAGATGAAAATAGTTTTTCCAGTTCTTGTAAGGAAAATCCATCTTCTGGAGAAAACAAGCCTTAAAAAAAATATTGTTACTGTTGTAGTGGATTGTTAAAACAAATCCACTAAAAAAAAAAGTTCAAGGAAAAAAATCTGACTAGCCCTGTTCTTGACCTCCCAGAAAATCATTGTATCTCCATGGAATATTAATAGCAGAAGGCAAGCTAGTGTAGTCTGGCAAGGCCAGCATGAATGCCACTAGGCTCTTACTGGTTTCCATTAGTTGATTAAAAAATTGCTTGTAAGTAGATCCTTCTTCCTATTTAAGAAGTTTTATTTTCTGCAGTGTCAAGTGCTTCAGCTATGGTAACAGAGTGGTTATTAAATGTGCTTAGATGTGAATGCAGCATGTCATATAATTCTTTTTTCTAGTGTTTGGCCAGGTATATCTTTAAAGATGCTGTATCATGTAATAAATAAGCAGTTCTCTATCCAATTGCTCTGTTTCTCTAGTCTCCAGCACCAGCTGTTACTGTGGAGTCTCAACTCTTATTGGAAATGCACAGAAACCAACAGGCATTACAGATACGTGCAATAAATTCAGACCAGTGAAGAGGGTTTCCCCATTAAAGCACCAGCCAGAGAGCTCTGAGAACAACGAAAGTAATGACCAAAAGAACCAGAAGGGAGAATACCAGAAAGGCAGTTATTCTCAGTCTGCACCTCCAAGTAATGAACAGAACCAGGGAGAGAGCCTTAAAAGTAAAAACATCGAGCCTGCTCTTCTGCTTGGGGAGCTTGAGCACTATGACCTGGATATGGATGAAATTTTGAATGTGCCTTACATTAAGTCAAGCCAGCAACTTGATCCTTTTACAAAGGTGGATCCTGAGAAAAAAATTTTGGGTATATGTTCAACAGTGAATGGTGTCAGTGGTGAGAGCTCCTCTGCAGGGAACAGGGAGAATTTGCCTGCCAGCGTGACTGAGTTCTGCATTCTGTCCCCTGTGAAAGGCTCTCAGCTGAGAAAAACACAGCCCGTTGTCCTTGAGCAACACAAGTATTTAACAGAAGAATCGGAGCTTTCCCAGCCTTTAGTTAAGTGTAGCTCTGTCCATGAATCTGGAACCCAGGCCAAGGGCTTCTTCGGCAGGACATTTGTTGATCCTCAGGCTCATAAAACTGAGCAGAGTATGCCAAACTGCCACCTGAGGACTTTTCATCTGCAGACTGCAGTGGTAGAAAGTAAGCAGCTTGAGGAACTGCATATGAACTAGAGCATCACAGGCAGACCAGAAGAGAGGAATGAAGATGTGAAAAAAAAAGTAAGAGCATCTTATGCATTGTAAAGGAAGGCCAAATATCATTACTGGTAAGTAAGTACTGTCATTTTCATAATCCATGTAGAGTAAGAGATTTCAGTGAAGTAGTTGATAAAGCCAGCAAAGCTGATGAAGTGCATGTTTTGTACTGCTGCTCTATGTGACTTGTATTCACTTTAGAAGTATATGGTTATTCAAACAGCAAGGTTTCATCTTTAAATCAGTCAAAAGGTGCAAGTTAACACAGTGATGCAGAACATGTGACCTTGTATTGGAGATGGAAATTTCTGTGATCTGTAGAGTCATAAAAATCTCCTGTGAGAAGAAGAGGTCAAACCTTGGGAAAGAAGATGTTTGCCTGCCTAGGCTGAGCGATAAGGAGCATGGATGAAGCTGCTCAGCCCGGTTCACAGGCAGCTCCCCCTGGAAACCTGTTGAAGTCGGCCGCTCGGCCGGGCTTGTAGCCAACTTAACCGCAGATGTCCTCCAAACTAGCTTTGGAGGCCAAACACCCGGAAATGAGGAAGAGGAGGAGGAAGGCAGGACCCTCGAATTGAGGGCTGGGACCCCTGACTGGTATGCACGCCTGCGCACCCAGAGGGGAGAGTTGGGCAACTAGAGGTGGAGTTTTGTCTGCCCCCTGGCCTGCCTCCTGGGTCATACTGACCCTACGTGCCAGGATGCACCAGGCATA